CTGGCAGAGTCTTGTCTTCCCTGATCCCAGTAATCCATAGATTAAGAGTTCTCCAATATCACCAGAGCAGAGGGGCAGAACGTTCTGCACCTGGATTGGAGCAATCCCAAACATGCAGGGTAAAGGAGGGGTGATGAGAGGATTGAGAGCAGCCCCAGGGAGGAGCACTTGGAGTGTTGGATGAAGAATTGGATGTGCCCCAGCCATGTGCACCCACTGACCAGGAACTCCTCCTGTGTCCTGGGCTCATCCCACAGTGTGGGCAGCACAAGAGGGTGGGGGAATCTCACCCTCTGCTCTCCTGTACTAAAATCAGAGTTCAGTGTTGAACTCTGAGCCCACAAAGACAAGGAAGACATGGATGTGCTTCATAGGGTCTGAAGAAGGGCATGGAAGATGATGAGGGACAGAAGCTACTGCTGTCCACAAAACTGAACACACCATCCAGGGAGGTTTGGGCCACAGGCAGGGATAGATATGCCTTAGTGTATCCAGATCTGTGATCCAGTAACTGAAGGATTTGTGGGATGCACTGGTAGAGCAAATTGTGCCACCTTATAGTAGAATAGGGAAATAAATCATAAAAGAGGACCTGGAGCACTTTTTCACCAACTCCAATGGATGCTGGAACCCTGGAAGAAAGTTGAGTGAGACTGGAAGGGTCTTGGCATCAGAAAGAAGAAGAACGCAACTTAAAACATGATGCAGGAAAACTTTATTGAGGTAGAAGAATGAGAGGCCATAAGCAGAAAATGGAAGGGAGCCAGGCTGAAGTAAAAGTAGGGCGACCATCAGCCAAGGACCTTTGCTTGGAGGAGGCTTTACCAGATCATAAATGCCTTCCTGCCCCACAGAGGGAGCATGGCATGCTGAGGGCCCTTAGCAGATGTAGCCACCCCTTCTGCCATAGCAGCCCAGGCCTCCCAGCCCATAGCCAAATCCACGGCCAGAGCCAAGGCCATAGCCAAAGCCACCAAAGCCACCAAATCCGCCAGAGATGGGCTGTCCCTGCACACTGAGCTCAGTGCCCACGGCAGCGGAGGAGGTGGATCCGACGGCGGTGTTCTGGGGGAAGGAGGTCATGATGGGTCCTGGCAGGGTGACCAGCACAGGGGAAGGGTTGATGATGACGTGGGAATCCTGGCATTGCAGGGCACAGGGCTCGTTGCAGCTGTTGGCCAGCGGGGTGGGTCCGCAGGGACTGCAGAGGTTGTTGCAGGCCATGGGTGTGGTGTGGAGGGTGCCTGGAAGAGAGAGGGATAAAGCAGGGCAGAGATGTGGGGGATGTGAGGGGCAGTGATGCAGGAGGAGAAGTGAGTGTGGAAGTTGTTGTGGGGCTGTGGGGAGGTGTGAGGGCTGCCTAGGCTGGGGCTGAGTGTGCCGGAAGAGAGGGCCCAGGGGTGCCGGAGCAGGAAGGTCAGGGTCTTCAATCTCACCTGGTTGTCAGCAGGAGCAGGAGGAGAAGGCGTCAGGAGAAGTGTGTGAGGGAGAGAGGCTCTGGGTCGGCTTTTATGCAGGTTCTGGAGGGGCAGGACAGCCTTGTCCCATGCCTTGGGGCATTTTGCAGGCTGCAGCTTTTGCCTTGCTCAGCCTGATGAGTCATGACCTGGGGAATGTTTTCCTTCCTGATGTTCTGCAGTGTCATGTCTTCTTCTTCTGTTTGTGTCCATGTGACATTGACAGCTGCTCATAATTTGAGAATTAGAGACCAGTGTGGGTTTTTTTGATGACATCTATCAAGACATGCAGAAGATTCAACCAAAGCTAAAGAGAACTGGGGAGTCATCAGTGCGGTCATGCCATATTGACAACATCTCTCATTTGCATTCTTGCCTCCTGTCTCAAGAATCTCTCAGCTCTTTCAGCTCCTCCTCGTTTTGATTATACCCCAGTATTGTCAATGTCATGGTGGCCCTGCACTGCTCTTGGTCAACCATGTCCATGTCCTTGCTCCACTCTGGAGCCCAACAGTGGTGGGGGACAGGAGGGTTAACTCCTTCAGCCTTATTGTACTTCTTCTCCTACATTACCTATCCTGGTAACAGCTGGAGATTTTTATTCCAAAGAGTTCATGTCCACCTCATGATCCACTTAAGCTACAGTAGGACTACAAGGACCTTCCCTTCTCGAATGCTTTGGTTGCCAAGGGAAGGGCAACTGGTGTCATCCTGATCTTCTGTCAGGGTTTTTACAGAGTCCCACAGGACACCCTTGTCTCTAAACTGCAGACGTGTGGGTTTCAAAGGAGCTCTGATGAATGGATGAGGAACAGAGAGTGATGGTCAATGGCTTTATGTACAGGTGGAGGCCAGTGACGAGGCCTCCAGGCTTGTGCCTTGGACTGGTGATTTTGAATATTTTATCAAGGAGATGAACAGTGAGATTTACACCACTCTCAGAATGTTTGCAGGTACCACAAAGCTGAGTGTTGCAGTCGACACAAAAACATGGAAGGATGTCATCAGGAGGGACACTGGGAATGTTGAGAACCGAAGAACCTCTTGTGGTTCAACAACTCCAAGTTCAAGGTCTTGCACATGGGTTGGGACAGTCCCAGACCCGAGCACAGCTTTGGAGAAAACTCATTGAGAGCAGTTCCACAGAGAAGAATTGCAGGTTCTGGTGGACTAAAATGACACAGCAATGTGAATTTCAGCCAAAAAACATAACCATATCCTGGGCTGCATAAAAACAGATGTGGCCACAGGAATGGCTGGGTGTCAGTTAGAGCCAGGAGGAAAGACCCAAATTCTTGTCAGCTTTATTTGCACCTTCTACATACCTGCGTCAAAAGAAGCCCAAAACCTTGGGCTTGACTGCTCCCAATTAAAAGCTGCTGCCAAGGTCAGATGGACACGGCCTCAAGGGGAGGGCATGGGATCACAGAACATCAAGAGGGAAAACATGACCCACTTATGACTCACCAGGCTAGGCCAGGCAAGAGCTGCATCCTAAGAAATGCCCCAAGGCCATGGGACAAGGCTGTCCCGCCCCTCCAGGACCAGCATAAAAGCCAGCCCAGAGCCTCTCTCCCTCACACACTTCTCCTCAAGCCTTCTCTTTCTCCTGCACCAGCAACCAGGTGAGTCTCATAACCCTGACCCTCCTGCTCCGGCACCCCTGGCCCCTCTTTACCAGCACTCCCAGCCCCAGCCTCAGCAG